TCTTCTTCTTCTTCTTCTTCTTCTTCTTCTTCTTCTTCTTCTTCTTCTTCTTCTTCTTCTTCTTCTTCTTCTTCTTCTTCTTCTTCTTCTTCCTTCTTCTTCTTCTTCTTCTTCTTCTTCTCCCGAACATAACGCACCTTGAAAATGAACGTATGCAAGGCATGTTTCCGGCCCGATACAGTAAAAATGAGGGTGCGTTGTGTTCGGGGGAAGACGGTAGTACCTCCGCCAGTGTTGGGAAAATAGGGAAACAAGTGGCAGTTTTGGAGGCCGGGCCTGACGACGGCTGCCATTGATAAATCTGATCGGCGGCTGTCGTTTCGTTTCGGTCTCGTGAAAGGTTGGTGGCCCACCCGAGGCCCGCTATGTTCCCACTCAGCAAAGGTACTAGTGGTTAAAAGAAAAAAAAGAGGCATGTTTTGAAGTGGAATTCAAATTTGTTGTCTTTATTATTTAAAAAAAAAAAAAAAAACACTCCACTGGGGGCCGATGACTGTGAGAAGATTCGGTTTTTGAAAGGGATGGGTTTCTTGAAAACAACAATTTCAAATTGGGCAAACATAAAATTAAAAGGGGGGTGTGGAGGTGGGTGGGCAGAGCGAGGTGGGCATTTTTTTTTGGGAGGGGGAGGGAAATGAACTCGAGATATGTGCATCCTGACAATGCTTGCTGTGGTTTGAGGGGTTTTGTTGAAGGGCTCGGAAGCAATCTTCTTTTTTTTTTTTTTTTTGGGAAATTCAGAAGCAAGCTAGGCTACCAGAGTGGCTGGGGGCGACTTGCCCGCCCAGGCCAAAAAAAATAAAAATAAAAATAAAATAAAAAGTAAAATAAAAAGTAAAATTTATAAAAATTAATTTTTAAGTTTTGACTTTATTTTTTATTTATTTAAATATGGTAAAGAATTTCGATGAGACCCTGAGGCAAAAGTTGTTCAGCTTATTCAACTTTATTTTTATGCATAACATAGTTTTCCAACCAAACTCGTTTTCTTCTCCGTTCAGCATGCATGCAGACAAGTGGCAATCCACACTGGCGCCAGGCGCCCACACAAAGCTCACAGATATGAAGGCCGAGAACATAGTTCAGATGCAAACTCTCGCTTTAAAGTGGCTATGGCGCCTGAGCGCCTACACATCTCACTTCTGACACTGTATTCACAACAACTGCTCACACGCACACCACACTGGATCTCCCCGACGCACACTCATTCTGTACTGTACTGTACCTGTCTCTTATACACATCTAGATGTGTATAAGAGATCTCGCATTCACTGGATACGACAGCCGCGCCT